AGTATATGACGTCATCATAAATATATAACTATATGGCAAAAAAAAATGTTAAAAATCATTTATGCGTAATGCCGGCTAAAATTAATTCTGGCCTACATTAACAACTTTACAACTTTGAAATAAACCGTTTTAACCATTTTTTTATTACTATTATTATTGTTATTACTATTTTTATTAGACTATTATTGTTATTATATTATTGTTATTATACTATTATTGTTATTATTGTTATTATTACTATTACTATCATTATTATTACTTGCTCATTATTACATGTAATTATTATAGCACTTATCGACTAGTTTTTATTAGGTATTGCCAATCTTCAGTATTAGCCTTAGCAATGGCTCCATCTGTAATACCAATAATAAAAATGCTACAAGTAAATATTTGTGCTGTTGGTGATCTTGTCAAGATTATATCCTCTTTTACAAGATCACATAAAACCAAATCATCTAATAACAAAAATGCATCCTCTTTAGTTTTGAGTTTTCTTGAAAATTTCTCTAAGTAAATTGGCAGTTCTCTAAACTTGTTTTTAATATCCTTTGCTTAAGACTGACGGAATATATCAACTACATTATTTCTTGTTATCTGTTGTCTTTCATTCGTAATAATCACTATTATCTCTAACATTTTTTCTACATCTGTACGGATATCAATTTAAGATGGATTATCAGATACACAACGAAGACAATTATCACAAACATTGCATTCATTTGATGTTGAATCTCCTGGCCATGCAAAATAATCAATAAGTGCCTTTTTCCTACATTGATAAATTGAAGAACAGTAAAATAATACTTCCCGAATTTTATGTTTTGCTTCAGATAAATATTTAGTACGCTCTATTGATTCCACCTCTTCCCTTTCATTAGCATTGATACTTGTAAGATTTACATCAATAATGTTACAATTAATTTACCATAAATACTATACATTTCATTAGATAATATGTTGAATTTACCTAGATTGTCCATTTGAATAAATTCCCATTATTATTCTAATATTTTTTTGGCTATACATAATAATTGCCTTTACAGGTAATCCATCACGACCTGCACGCCCACTTTCCTGTACTAAATTACCTATAAAAAATATATATATTAGATATATTATTAGCATCAACTTTTATAGTGATTTTTTTTTTAACTTACTTATAGACATCAGAAAACCTGCATGAATTACTATACGAACATCTGGAATATTTATACCCATTCCAAATGCATTAGTGGCAACTATTATTCGAAATTTTTCAGATCTCTAATCTAAAAGAACAGCTGATTTTTGTTTAGCAGATAATTCACTGTGATACATAGTAATTATTTCTTTGGAAACTTTACTTTGAAGCTCAGTGGTAATATTTTCACAACTCTTTATAGAAAGGCAATATAAAATGCATTTTCTGATCTCTATTTTATTATAAATGTTAATAATGTCATTCAAAAATTGTTTTTTGTTTTCCATTTTTTTTTGTACTTCGTAAATAATTTGATTATCCTCAAAAGCTATGTTACAAATAAGAGAAGCTTGTTGATAGTCTATTCCAAGTCTTGTGGTAATTTTCTGCAAATCAATTTGACGGCAAGTTCAGTAAGAAGCAAAATAGGTGCAGAAGGAAAAATTTCTTTAAGATTTTTAAGATAAGCCTACGATTTACTAATAAAATAATTTTAATTAGATAAGAACACCAAATTAAAAAAAAATATTTAAAATAACTTACCAAAAGTTTTCTTAATCCAAAATGCAATATGCTTCATCTACTACAAATCTGATACCATTTGTTGTATCATACTTTTGTAACATTGATCTGAAGCCTGCATTCATTTGAAACTTCTCAGGAGTTGTAAATATAATTTTTGTTAACCCACAAGCAATTTCTTCAAAAACTTTTTTTTGATACCACAATGGTTGTTCTGTTGATGCATAAAGACCACTACAAGGAATTTCTGCTTTGATTGACTCCATTACTTGATCATCTATAAGTGCTTTTAGAGGAGAAAATACTATGGTAATTCCTTGTGAAAGAATAGCTGCTATAGTATAACACAAACTTTTACTACCTCCTGTTCGTTTTATAATAATTGTATCTTGATTTTATACAAAAGATTGAATTGCTTCTTTTTGTCCACTTCAAAAATCATTGAACTGGTATATACCACGTAGTGCGTATGTACACATCATTTCAAAGCTAATATTATTGGATTTTTCAATTTTAGGTTGATAATTTTTATCAACAATTCGATCTCATAATCCATTTTCGATATAGAAATGACAAACATAATATAAACCTTTTGCTGTATATTTTGGAAATGCGTGACAAGTAACACATTTTGTTGTTTCATCAAAATCTGGTATTTGTAAAGCAAAAGAAGGATAGAATTGATTTGCATCAATATTGCATTGAGCTTTTTTGCCGTAAGGTATAAGTTCCTATTGAAAAAACATTTACAACATAAATAAATATATATGTGCATATTTAATAATAATTAATTAATGAATAATGATATAGATTACCTGAGACTAGTCAAATGTTTTAAGATCTTCTCTTTTATTTTTCAATTCATTTGCTCGTTCTTGGTTTCATTTTTGGATATTTGTAACATTATGTAAACGTTGCTGATTCCGTTCCAATTCAATCTTACTTATATTGACAAGATCCTGATCAGACAAAACAACATTGCATGCCAAACGAGTCACATTCATCATTTCACAAATTCCTTCATTATTATATAAAATTGCCAAAGCATGTCTTATTGGGTATGACTTCCAATAATCAATTCTCTTGTCAAGATAAATTAGTTTAAGTTAGTTAAATGCTTCATTTTGTGATGTGTGAGTTTTTGTAGCAATACCTTGGTTGATAGAAAGATGAAAGATTGTCTCTAACATGGATTTGAATTTTTCACGTTGATAAGGAGTATAGAATTTGAGAGTAGGCTCTAAAAGTTGCAGCTCAGGATTATTCTTTATCCAACAGACTTTCGGCCAACACAATTCATGATTATCACAAAGATGTTGAAAAAGACCTTCTGTCTGTACATTACGAATATCTTTTTCCTATATAGGACAATTTTCTTTCTCGCTTTTTTGAATACCTGCAGCATATACACAGCTAGTAAAATAAAGCATAATATGTTGTTCAAAATCACGCCATTGAGGAAATTTGTTCACTACAAAATGTATGACAGTCAGATTTTGCTTAAAAAATTAATAATCACTTAATAAAAATTATTTACTTAACATAAGTTTTTGCGAATATTTTTAGTAACATGCTTAAGATCAGCAAAAATTTAGTTGACAACCGCAACATTTCTTAAGGTTTTGTTAGAATCCAGATCACCATCAATAGTAACATTTATAAGCATATCGTGTTCTTCTAAAATTGGAGTTAATTTTTCAAGAATACTAATCAGGATAGCGTGTTCTATCTAACGAGAACTCAAATCAAAGTTGCCTTCTTTTATAATTTTATCTTCTCCATCCTGTTTTTTATTTTTCGGGATTTTTCAACAACGTAAAATGCAATCACAGGTTTGTAAAAATATCCTAATGCAGAAAAGTATACTAATAAGTAATTACAAACCAAAACAAAATTTTTTTTAAAAAAAAAATATATATGATATTTATCTACATCTTTACCATCATATATAATTTTGCCACTAGCCTGTTGAGCATTACGAACATGAAACCAAGAACAATTAAAACTTACAGGCAGAGTACGTTTTCCTTTTGTTTTGCAATAATTAATTACTTTTTGTAAAGCTATTTTTGTGCTTATTTCGGCTGACTTCACAATTTATTCAAAAATCATAGCTTGGTAATTATGGTAAGAAGCTTTACAGAGTTGTGATGTAACACCTGTACACATAAAAGTCATTTGTAATAATTGTCTATTTATTCCGCCAACTAAACCTGCAGCAACGAAGCAAATATTGAAATTTACTTCTGCTGATTCGTTAGAAAATTCTTTAACCGTCTTACAAACTTAACATTTAATAAGTATTTTTATAGAGAGTCCTGCTGTTGAAATATTTCATTTTTTGTTGATGATTTTTATTTCTCCACATGAATCATAAGGTTGCTGTAATACCAAAGAAAGATATTATTCGGTGCTTATCAATAATGTTGAGCCAAGCTTTTCTTCTTTTATAGAGTCTTGAATCATTAATGCTAATAATTCATCATCATCATTATCCTCTTTCTCCACGATATCAAAATAATGATCACATTGTACTTTCAGCCGTTTGATTTGCCGATTAGCATTGTATAGTTTATTTTTTGTCTGTTTGTGCTCAAATAACACCATATAAAAACTTTCTGAACTTACTGGCTTTATATCACTGGTTATGCATATGCCATTATGAACTAATTTACCTGTTGATGTTGATTGTAGTTCTGATCGAAGGCGTTTTCCTTTTTTTTCAATTGTTCTAATCATTTTTTTTGTCATTTCTTGCACTTTAATAAAAACTTGTAATTTAGAATATAGCTCAGGATATTTTTTATATACTGAATCTTTTAACAATCTAATAATAGATAAAATATTAATACCTATTGTGAAAGGAATTGATAATTTACCATCAGATTTTATATATCTTATAAGACTTCGAAAACGATCAGGTTGAAAATCTGATGCTATAGGAGTAGTAAGATCATTTTCGTCTATTCTAAAATCAACCTAAGAAAATAATAGTTACTGATTGGAATATTCAATAAAAAGTTTGAAAATATTGTTTCCAAAAGCAGTATAAATTGTATAGCCAGGTAAAAGTGGTACCCAGGTCTTTTCATTATCCATTTTGATATGATAATATCCTGCTTGAGAATTAACAGTTATATCTTGAAATTATTCATGTATATCAACAACCTGCTAGAGTTGTAAAGTATCTAACACAAAATGTGTCTTGTTTGTTCAAGAAAAAATCTGATATTTGTTATTAAAAGAGAGATTTTGGTACCATCAAAGCACAGCTATTTTCTAATATATATATACATATATAAATATATAGATTGTGAATATACTTTTTTTAAAAAAATAAAACAACCAAATTTTATTATTTTGAATCATAGTTTTGACTCAGAATATAATTTTTTTGCATATATCTTAATTTTTGCGAATAAAGTTATATTTCATATAAAGAATTCGCTAGAATTCACGACCTTAGATGGTAATTAAACCAACTTTTTTAGGCTACCTTATTAATAACATATATTCATAATATATCATTAGATAGCTCAAGTTTTGCCGAGTCAAATAAGGTATAAATTGTCTGTGTTTCGCAAAGTTATGTGAACTTATAATTGTGATAATGTTTCGCAAATCTATATCATATGATTTGCTATAAGCATGATGATGTCATATACGCTACCCTTAATCACCTTTATTATTTTTTTCATTTCATTCTTATTTATACTGAGATTATAAAATGTAAACCATTTGCAAGAATACGATATATCATTGCATTATAAATTAAAGTTCATTTAACTTCACTAATACTTTCTAGTGATCGTAAATTTAATCCTGATAACTTTACTTTTAACATCAAATATTATTTTCCCTATAAAAATTCACATTGTAATTTACAGTAAACGAGTTTGTAAGAAAAAGATTACAAAGATTACATATAAAAAATTAAATAATTACAATTTTTCGTTGATAATTATGCTGTTGAACGTTGATATAATCTTTCATTAATTTGATATGAAAATCATCAGTAATATCATTAAATGTTTATTTAATGATTTGACATTCATTCTGTTTCTCAACCGAGTCTTGGTGAGTTTATGTTGAGTGAATATTCTCTCAACTTGTGCATTGGATAAAGGGATAATTAACGAAATTTTAACTAATTTAGTGATATTTGGAAACTCACTTGAAAAATCTGGATACATATTAAAAAATGTATTCACATCTTTCCAACTGCATCCTGACCTCTATTTTTTTTGATACCGCCTATTCTTGTTTCACATCATCACTATCAATGACTTTTTTTCATAAATTTCCTTTATCATCTGTTTTATCTACTCCATAGTAGACAGAAATTTTTTCAATATCTTCGTTACCATAATCTCCTAGTTCACTTTTTTTTTATAGGTAATAACTTTGGATTAAATATACGAAAAGAATAATACAGATTAGGTTG